TGTATATAAATTACTGACCAGTTTTCGGAAGTACAATGAATATTCACTATAATTTATAGTACCAGAAAAGTAACGTGCCCATGAAGATAACACAAGATCACAAACATGTTTAGAGAAAATGGCAATCCAACTCCTGGGTTCAATGAAGATAAAGTTGGAGGACATGTGCGCTGGCAGCAGAAACGTGGATCCCTCCTGTCTGGGGCCCCCACCTCGGGGTGACAAGCAGTGGGAAGAGGATAGCGCAGCCACATGAGTAGCCACCTTTCTCTCTCCGCAGTCCCCAGCCTGGGGGAGGCAGCCTGGGCACTAAATAGGAAACAATACAGGAAAGCGCGTATTATCTGCATAGAGATCTTCCGTTATGACAGAATGAACATTCAGTCGAAGCGGTGCAGGAAACTCCAAGGGTATGCAGCCCATAATTGATTTTGCTTCAAAAGGAGACACAGTTTACAAGAGAGACCACGTGTCTAATGTAGTAAAAGGTCTTTACACTTCTGTTTAAATGGATGGAGACACTTGGACTCAGCTCAATGTTCGTTTTTCTTAAGCTTGGCTGGAAACTTCTATTTTGAACGTGACCGTTTTTATGATCTTTTTGGTCGGTAAAACCGAGCAGTTGTAGCAACTTCCTGTTGCTTTGTGGCTTGTGTATTTGGTAATAAAAACAACACTCTTCAAGGTATTGGCATTTTCCCGATTCACGGTTAAACACCACGATGGCGTTCCAATGAAAATGATCTGGCTGGCCCGGACCCCAAGGGGAGTTTATAAAGCAAACGAGTCCTTGTCATATTGTTGAACAAGGTTCATAAACCTTTTTCTTCAAATGTATTTAACTTGTTAAAAAGTGAGCTTCTATTACAATGGACTTACCTTCCAGCTGGGAGGAATGAATCCCCTCACCTTTTGTTCCTTTATATTGTCACACGGATAAAGTAATTTGTTTCCTTTCATACAGGACGATGCAAATGTAGGTGGAAAACAGGAGCACAGTGGGGGGGTGGGGGGGGAAGGAAGGTTGACCACGTTCACCTGGGTGACAGGTTTTAAAGTACACATCTTCAGAGAAAAGGCAGATACCAGCAGACAGGGAACTTTGATGCACCAAAGAAAAGCATACATTTTCCACTGCTTAATTATGTTTGAGATCTTCCCTTTTAAAAATAAAGCTATGGTCTGTAAACGAGTCTATCTAAAAACATGAAGCACAGGTCAGTCTTCAACCTTTTACAAGCACTGGGTAATGGTGTCATATTCCACTGCAAACTGTTTCCAAATCCGACGAGATCTCACGCTGCTTCCTGAGAGTCACATCTCAAGTATGACTGTTTATATTTTAATCTCGTTACGACTAAAATCTGGGAAAGCCCACACAAAATGTCAACATAATTGCTGGCTACCAAAATGCCATTATTTAATGGGATTCCAATCCCAACAGCACAATGACAACAGAAACACAAACACGGAACATAACTTCACTCATGAAATTACTAAGTCACTACCTTCATCTGATGTTTCTTGTTCACTGTATCCCTTCAGGGGGAGATAGTTTTCCCTTTTTTTTGTTTGTTTTCTTATGACAGAGATTCACTGCTTCTGAGGGCCTCTAAAGAGGCCTATGCAAGAAAAAAGTAGAAAAGGCCCAAACATGGGAGCTGGGAATGCAAGCTAGTCCCTGCGAGCTTTGAAACAAGTGGCATCACCTCAGTTTTCTCGTCTGTGTCACAGGAGGAGTAGAGTACGTCATTTTCCCAAGCCTCCTTCAGCACAGTGGCTCAGGTTCTGAGAGAAGCTAGTCTTCACTTTCGATCACAACAGTTTTTGAGATGAAATCGCTGGGAGTGGGAAACAAAATGACCATTTTCTAAAAGAACGACAGTGCTGTTCCTGTCCCATCTCCTGGCAGCTCTGATTCAAACACACCATGTTCTATTTGAACCATTTTGTTGAGCTTAAAAGTTCCTGGTAGCGTTTACTGGGCTCTCAGTTATGTGGACAGGTTTAGTGTATAAAGTCTCAAGAAGCAGACAGTAAGAAGATTAATCTGCTCTCCTGCTCTCTGCTCCCGAGGGCAAGGGAACTGTTCACACCCTTTCTGCCTCTTAGAACCTTCAACTAGTCGATCCTCACACCAGCACACTTCTTAAATGGGCTGATTTCTGGTTTTATCAGGTGGGTATGCTGCAAGAACCTAGAATGGAAGAGCCAACGCACTGCAGGTTCTGTTGACTATTCTCATTAAGTGCTATGATTTTCTTATCCCTCACAGACTGTTTTTTTCCTAACACAAAGCATCATTTTCTTTCCTCACAATGCTCTAAGTAATTTGATTCCCGAGAAGAAGTTATGATTTCCAAGGAGCACATAGCTACTCTACTACCAGTTCAATCTAAGTAATAACTCAACTTCAGAGAAGAAAAATGTAGCTAAACGTATTAAAAGGAACTTAAAAAAAGAACACGAGCCTCATCTCTTATAAGATGGTTACATGAGCTGGATATAAAAATGGCCAAAAAAAGGACAGAGCCCATCATACTTGTTGAGAAACTGGTTAATTTCACAATAGTTAAAAGTTTATGGGCATTTAGTAGTTTTTCTTTTAGCATTCACCTTATGGAACTACATTAGAGGCAATGAAAATATTAATGTTTTCCATTCAGAAAAGTTTAATATATATTAAGTATTTTATATCTAATATATATTTATTTTGATTTAAGTTTTTCAATTTATTCAATACTCTCAAAAAAATAAGAACAGAGAAAAAGAAAATATTCAGGTAATTTGCACTGCCTGACTTTAAAACCAGGTTATGTAAGTTAGGGATAGACTATTCTTTAACTGGAAGGAAGACCATGAAAGCCACGCCAAATAATAAAACATCATGGATTCTGATTACTTAGAAAATTATAGCTAATAAACATTACCTAAAAGGAAAAATTTTAATTCCCACCTGTTGAAAATACACACATTTCCTGACAGGGTCCAATCTGCAATGATTAGTGTAGCCAGGTAAGATTGAAAACTGGCAAAATGGGAAATTTAGAATGCAAAGCAAATGTATCAAGTGACTGTCAGTTAAACTGCCAAACAATTATCTGAATTTAATAAACTGCTTATGAGATCACAAATTTCAACTGAATTTATACTGAAGCTTAGTAGCAGCAGACATCTATAAAGAGGAGAGTATATCATCTGAGAGAATTTGAGGGCAAGGAAAATATAGAAAACTTTTTTTTTTTTTGGCAATACAGTTTAAGTCCTCAGAGATAAATCTCTCCATAATAAGAACCTCTAACCCACAAAAACATGCTACCAAAAACGTACGGACATCCTGGCATGAATTTCTGTGTTCTTCTCTCCGTGTGGGCACAGCCTCCTTGGTTTATTGGTCCAAACTCCCATGTGCGGCCCCTCACACACATGCCAGGGGGCTCCAGACATCTGACACATGGAGGAAACCGCACAGTGAACAGAGCTCAGCAGAGCCACCTGACCAAAGCCAGGTTTTCTTAGTTATGAGACTTTTCTATAAAAGGATTACAAAGTCTGAACAGACCACAGAAAGTTAAAAAGATACTTGCTTCTGCTTTAGGGGCTTCCACTATCCACTCCTGAAACACAATTCAGAAACGATTCTGTTTTAGGGAAAAATGCCAAGTGTAAGCCAGGGTATAAAAGATCGTACCAGGAACAGAAGTCTGACTATCTGAATGATCTCAATTTCCCCATCTTTCCCTAACTCAGCGGAAAAGAGTATGTGTGTCTTTTCTTCCAAAGGAAACTGGAAAATGTTTAAATAGGCCATTAAACATTGGTCTTCGGAAAACCTTATCAGTACCTTTTCTAATTTAAAGTCAATGAAGGGGCGCCTGGGTGGCTCAGTTGGTTGAGCGTCCGACTTTGGCTCAGGTCATGATCTCACGGTCTGTGAATTCGAGCCCTGCGTCCGGCTCTGCGCTGACAGCTCAGAGCCTGGAGCCTGCTTCGGATTCTGTGTCTCCCTCTCTCTCTGCCCCTCCCCACTCATGCTCTGTCTGTCAAAAATAAACATTAAAAAAAAAAACTTTAAAGTCAATGAATGACACACTCAATATGTTTACCATTGAAAAACTCAACAGGTGGCTAAAGACAGTTGGGTATGCTACAGGCTAGCACATGGTCCCACATGGCAGATCGCATGAGCCACCTGAGGTCCTCGTCAGTCAAACTCTCTGGTGGTGTGTCCTACTTCCAAAGTAGCAGTTCTTTCTCTGGGAGGGACGGTGCATTGGGAACAGTGGTCTGTGCGTCACTGTCCTCTTGAAGTTTAACAGTAACAGGGAAGAGAGTACACCCACAAGGATTTGTACTATGTGATTCCCATAGTCAAAGTGAATTTGGCATTTCCTCCCCAAAGCTAAAGAAAAAACTACTTGAGAAAAATGATTCTCTATCAATTACTTTACATTTCAGATTTCTTTCTGTGCAAAAAATTTCACGTATATGGAGGAACAATTGACCTTTGATCAACAGAGTAGCTGGAAGCTATTATACCATTACAAAAGTACCCACAGCAGATTATTGAAATTGTAAGACTATTTTTAAATTCATAAAAATGGTACCGAGCTCGGTGACTACCGCTTTAGTTTTTTGGTACCCCATGCGAAATGGAATCAGGGAAGTTACCATTGCTGGAGGGAGCCAGAAATCAGCCAAATTTCCTAATTTGCTACCGCTTAAAAAATGGTCAATAGTTGCGACACGTTGGGGGCCAATCCTTTCATTTCATGTGCTGTTCGGAAGATCTGTTAAAATTGCGACCAGGTAAAATCCGCCGCGACCTGATAGGGCTGTGTCTGCAGCACAGGCGTGGTGGCAAAACACACCGCGCCCCATTCACTCCCAGCCTCCCCCCCACACAGGATCAGCGCCAATGACCGGCAATGCTGCAGAGGGGCACGGGGCTCCGGTGCTGAACCCACAAGGGCACCTGCCTGGCACCACAACCAGCGGCCTCACAGCGCCCCATCGAAGGTCTGGGGCTCACCCAGTGCTGCGGCTGGAGGTTCGGGGCGCCTCGTCTGGGTAATTTTCTGTTTGGGGTTTTTTGTTTCTTCTGCCTCTTCAGTTTCACTGTCACAGACATGAACCACCACGCTGGGCGTCGACTCAGTTCCTGCATGGAGCTCGTATTTCTCTCCTGTGGAGGTAAACGGCAAGAACAGGCGTCTGTTTCTTAAAACTTGTTCCACTCAGTTTTGGCACGAGAGATAGGATACTTGAAGGTTCTTAGACAGTTTTGCCCTTTTAAGAAATTAGCTGGTGAGGGGTACTGAGGTCTTGGGAGTTAAAATGGAAATGCTAATTACTGTTGTATGAACAGTATGAGTGAACTGCTTAACTTTAGAATGATTTTGGTTTTCCTGCAGGAGAGACTTGTAAGGTGCCAGGCAGCATCAGCAAGCCCTTTATTATTTTTTTTAATTTTTAAATGTTTATTTATGTTTTTTGAGGGAGAGAGAGAGAGAGAGAGCATGAGCAGGGGAGGGGCAGAGAGAGAGGGAGACACAGAATCCGAAGCAAGCTCCAGGATGAGCTGTCAGCACAGAGCCTGACGTGGGGCTCAAACTCCTAAGCTGTGAGATCATGACCTGAGTTGAAGTCGGACACTTAACCCACCGAGCCACCCAGATGCCCCAAGCAAGCCCTTTATAATAGGACCTCATACATCTAAGATATAGCCTATCATGTCTAAAAACAACAGTAAGCCACCTCCCTAAAAAGCCTGTTTCCCTTTATAAGAGGCATAATATTATTGTAGGTGAACAACCAGCAATGGCATTGATTTCTTATATTATTTTAAAGAGATGAGAGAAATCAAAGAAAAAGAAATGAAAACAAGTAGAAGAATTTAGAAGGAATGGTTTGGTATTGCCACCAATTCCTTGAAGTAAGTCTTCAGTGTAGAGAAGGTAACCAACATTCACTAACGGCCTGTTATTACTAGTAGAATCTGCAGCAGTTAAAACTGTGGTTACATTTATTGAGTATTATGTATATAACATTTAATCCTTATACTGAGTCCACACTGAACGGGAGCTATTACGACCGCTACTTTAGATGAGAAAACAGGTTCAGAAATTGGAGCTAAGTAACTTGCTGAAGATCACAGTTCGCAGGGCAACCGGCATGCGACTTTTGGTCTCGGGGTTGTGAGTTCAAGCTTCACATTGGGTGTAGAGATTATTTAAAAAATAAAATCTTAAAGGGGCAGCTGGGTGGCTCAGTCGGTTAAGCGTCTGCCTTTGGCTCAGGTCATGATCTCACAGTTCCTGACTTTAAGCTCCATATCTGGCTCTCTGCTGTCAGCACAGAGCCCACTTCAGATCTTCTGTCCCCCTCTCTCCCCCTCAAAAATTAACAAACATTTTTTTTAAAATCTTAAAAAAAAAAAATCACAAAGTTAGCAAACGCTAGATTTGAACCCGGGTTTATTTGACTTTATCCTCCACTCTGATCGTGTTGCTACCAGTTGGCCAGAACACAAATCGCTGAATAGGGCCTTTAACACAAAAGTTTCTCAGGTTTCTCATGCCTGCGGGGCTCAGTTAGTTGAGCATCAGACTCTTGATTTTGGCTCAGGTCATGATCCCAGGGTCATGGGATCCAGACCCACATCGGGCTCTGGGCTGAGTGTGGAGCCTGCCTGAGATATTCCCTCTCTCTCCCCGCCACCCCTCTGCTCCTCCCCTTCTGCTCTCTCTCAACAACAAAAAAGTTTCTTGGGGAAAAAAAAAAAAAAGGAAAGATGAAAGTTTGTTACCTGGTCCCAGTTTGGAAACTGCACAGAGTAAGTCATAATTTATAACAGGTGTCGCGTCTTCCCCCTGCTTCCACCCCACCGGAGGCGACGCGGGAGGGGAGATGAGGAACTGTTTGACTGGCTGGGGTGGCAGTAAATACGACTTGTCCCGTGTTTCACTGGACATCTGTACCTGTGGGGAAGGACGGAGGTTCTCAAGAGCAGGTTGCAACGGGGCTGTTTCTTCCTTTTCCTCTTCAGGCTGTGACACCTCTTCGCAGACCACGAAAGCCAAGCCCCCCTCCACAGCCCGCACCTCCCAGCGGCGGCCGGGTCCGTTTAGTTTACCCCGGGGCACACACGGTGCACAGCACAGAGCCCACGCACACCGGGTGTTCGACAGCTGCCTGGAAGAAGCAACTGACAAACAGATGAAGGAACAATGAATGGTAGGAAACCTACATGCCGATTGTAGAAGAGATTAGGTCACATCGGCTGCGTCTCAAGCAGCTCCACTGAAATATCCTGACAACTGTCATCTAGGTTTTCGTTTGGAGTGTGAGACAACAAGCTTCTGCTTTTTTAAAGATTATTTATTATTTTTGAGAGAGAGAGAGAGAAAAGCGGGAGGGGGGTAGAGAGGAAGAGAGAGAGAATCCCAAGCAGGCTCTACATTGTCAGCGTGGCACCTGAAGCGGGACTCAAACTCATGAACCCAGAGATATGACCTGGACTGAAATCAAGACTCGGACGCTTAACCGACTGAGCCACTCAGGTACTTCCTCCCCCCCCTCCTTTTTTTTTTTTTTAATTTGAAAGTTAAGACCAAGGGGGAAAAGCATCAGTTGAAAGTAAAACAGCCCACTTAATACATGAATAGAGGTCAAAAGCCTTTATGTCATCAATTCTTCTGAGGAGAAATTAGTTTCGGAGAATTCCACCAGTAGGGATCAGAACAGTAAGCACTTACGGTTCTTGGTAACCCACAGGCTCCCAGAAACAGCCTTTTTTGCACGGTCCTCGCCACCCCCCTGGTCATCCCTAGGCTGGCAGCTATTTTCAGTGAGGGGGTCTCATATGAATCACACAACATAGAAACGGTTTCAGAGACGATTTTCTCAATTCTCCCAAGGATGTCACATCACAAGTGCACGGGAGAAAAGTTAATTCACTGATCTTAGGATGTCAGGGCTTCACCAGTTGAGAAATGGTGCCCAGAAAAATGAATTCCTTTGACTATCAGTATAAGCAAAACAGAGTTAGGAGGGAAAATATGCTTAATAAATATTTATATATCTGTAAAATAAAGGAAAAATACTTTTGCATTACTTGCTGCTTGGGATTCAAAGACCTCTGATGCAATAAGCAAGAAAATGGAGAAGTGATGGTACTTTGGGAGGAAAGGAGGTTGAGAGAACAGTGCCCTCCCTGTCCACCTGTACCTGTGCAAAATACAGCTTCAGCTTCTTCCCGTTGAAGTCTGTTTCGTTGAGTTCTATTCGCGCTCTTGCTGCTGCTTCTGGTTTGCTGAAATTTATTCTGACTCTTCTAAAGCTTTTGAACAACTGAAATGTCACTTGGTCATCATAGACAGTGAAAAGTGCTTCAAATCTCTCCTAAAAATCGGGGAGCAGCAGGGCAGGGGAAATGGGGAGGGGGGAGAAGAAGGAAAACCTTTAGCAAAAGGAAATTTAATTAAACGTAAGTAATGGGACGGAACTCATGATTTACCATTTTTCCAAAAACGTGTACTTTTATTGCAGGTGTACATAGGTATCCCATTGCCATGGGCTAAATTCGGCAATTTGCACCTATTTTAAAAGTAATTAACTTTATTAAATATTGTATAGGTTCGAAGTATAAAATAAACAAATGTCAAGTATAAACAAAGATCTAAATACACGCAATCACAGAACAAGAACACTGTACTGGTTTGAAGCCCCCACTGAGCCAGACTGGCTTTTTCCAGCTCATCTGTTTCCTCCTTCAAAATAACCATTTCTGGGTTTTGTGCTTATTATTCCCATGCTTTTCTTGATAGTTTTACATTTATTTGTGTCCTGAAAGACATAACCACATTGCATGTACACTTCTGTAACTTTTTGTGAGCTTTTCCCCTTACATTTTGCTCCTAAGAGTCTTCCTTGTAGCTGTAAGTCATTTTTTTTTTCTGCTGCTACGGAGTATTCCACCGAAGAGCCATACGGTGATTTATCCAATGCTGGTGGAATCTGGACTGCCCCATATTGTCTGCTACAGTGGTGCCACGAACATTCTTGCATACATCTCTTGGTACCTAAATGCAGGAGTTTCCCTGGTGGACCCACCTATAAGTGGAATTTTTGGGCCTTACACTTGGCACATCTTTAACTTCAGTAGATACCGCCAAATAGTTTCCCAAAGTGTTTGTACCAGTTTACTCTCTAAGAGCAGACATGTGCTATAGTTATGTCTTTGTCAACACATCTTTGCAGGCATCTTTGCTTAATATGGACTTTTTATTAATGGGAGGTAGGGGCTTGCAAATGGGCTCTGATGTTAGCTGTCATTCACATTTCTCTAAAGATTGCGGTTGAGCCTCTTTTCCTGTTTATTGGTTATTTGGGACTCCTGTTAATGTCACATGCCTGTTTATATCTTTTGCCCATTTTTCTCCTGGGTTGTCTTTTTTTATTGAGTCATGGAAATTCCACAGAAATACTAATTCTTTGTCAATTAAATGGGCCATAAATATTTTTTTCCCAGCTCTTTTTGGGGTGTGTGTGTGTGTGTGTGTGTGTGTGTGTGTGTGTCTGTGTGTGTGTGTGTGCTTGAGAAACAGAAGTTTTAGATCTGCACATTACTGAATTTATCAGTTTCTTCCTTCTGTGCTTTCTGTGTCTTAAGAAATCCTTCTAGGGGCGCCTAGGTGGCTCAGTCAGTTGAGTGTCCAGCTTTTGACTTCAGCTCAGGTCATGATCTCAGTTCGTGGGTTTGAGCCCTACATCAGGCTCTGTGCTACAAGCACAGAACCTGCTTGGAATTCTCTCTCCCTCTCTCTCTTTGCCCCTCCCCTGCTTATGCTCTCCCTCTCGAGAGAAAGGAAGGAAGGAAGGAAGGAAGGAAGGAAGGAAGGAAGGAAGGAAGGAAGGAAGAGAGGAATCCTTCTATATTCAGATTGATGTTCTCCTAGATCATTTCTCAAAGTATTATGGTTTTATCTTTGAAATTTAAGTCTTTTCTCAGCACAAGTGACTTTTATGTATGAGGTGCCCCACCCCACCAGCAATGACTATCATTTTTCTATCACTCTAGATTAGATTGTATTTTCTAGAGTTTTATATAAATGTACT